AACTCTAAGAATTAGTAAGCACTATAGGGCCTTATTTTTATTTAGTAAAAAGGATTAAAATAATAAGTAACATAAAGATAGCAGAAGAAATAAGACTAATAAGCTATTTAGTATAAAATAAATAAATGTTAAAGATGCCTTTTAGTAAGTAAGCGCTTACTTTATAAATAAACTTTTACTAACACAGTTATGTAAGCAGAGCGGTAAGGACGCTGCTAGGGAGAGGGGGCAGCGTGTTACAGTCTACAGTTAGACTAGTGTAACCCCACTAGCAGTGCTCTACAATCTAGCTAGGTTAGGGCAGGGCTTGCTTATAGACTAATTAGAGGATGCAGAGGCAGCACAGCTGCCTAAGATTATAGAAGAATGTACTGTCTAATAAGAGGACAGGCTGTGAGTTTAGGGAGCCTAAGGGAGCTTATAGGAGCCCCTCTTAGCAGGCTCCTATAAACTTCTGCTAACTCCCCTTAGCATCCCTAGCACATGTATATAGTTCCTACATTAAATAACTTTTAGAAGGTGTGTTTAATGTTTAGTTTATTCTTTACATAGACTAAGTAGCATTTAGCTTTTTAAAGAGCTATAATACTATTTATATATCTTGCACTATATATACCTCTAACCCTGTCTAAAAGGACTGTTTGACCCTAGCCTCCCTACTGCTGCACATAGGGTAAACTATAATCTAGTCACTCTAAATAAACCTCTATTAGCCTAATAGCCTGTACGTAGGACTGTACACCCTACTAGATTAGCCCCTACTATCTGTCCTACTTCCCCCCTAGGAATACTAGAAGACCTAAGTGCTTTCTAAAGCAAGGATTGTAACACTAAAGCATAATTTAAATTAATTTTTATTACATTAGAGTCCTTATTTGCAACTGCGCTAGTTTAGAGGTGTATTAGAGCTTATATAGGGAGGAACCTTATGTTATTATTATAGGTAGTAATTAAGTTTACATACGCGTTAAGGTTGTTTAGAAGGGGTTCTCTTACTATAGCGCGTTACAGTTTAGTTAAGAGGGAGTTATATAAGGCTATAATTAAACCTATTTTATTTAAGCCTATATTAGATGTAAGTTAGTAGAACTTAGTAAAGTGTAAGGTAAAGCTTTTCTTTCTTTATTATAAAGTGTTTAGGTAACTTAAAGCTATTAACTCTTTATTTAAGTCTCTATAAGTTACTTATAGAAACACTATAAATTAATTTAAGTTAATAATATCTTTATTTATTAGTAAGTTAATTAAAGCTGTTATATTACAGTTAAGTTAAAAGTAAGCATATAGTAACTAAAAGTGTTTAGAGGGGAATTAGTTTACATTTCCTTTAAGTTTATATTAGAGCTTACATAGAAAGGAAAGTAAGTCTTTTTATTTTCTATTAAACAGTAGGGAATTAGAGAGTTAGTTAGATTTTATTACTAAGTTAGAAAAGTTACAGGTTATAAGCAGCATTAGATAGGAGAGAGTTAAGCTATTTTTAGACTTTTAGGTAAGCTTTAAGGCTAGTAAGTTCTTAGTTCTTACTACTATAACAAAAGTTAAGGTAGAAACAGACTACTTAACAACATAAAGCTGTTCTTTAAAGTTCTTTTAAAAAGCTTTTAAGTTTACAACATAGCAGCTTTTTTATAAAGTAAGTGCTTTTTAGAAGGCTTTTTAGCTTACTTTAATAGCTTAGAGTTATGTAAGTACTAAGCTTATTAGATTAAATTTAGAGGCTATTTTTAGCTAAAGTTTTAACATAACATAATGTTATAATTATGTATAAGTAAAGTTATAAAGCTTTACAGAGGTCTAGTTTAATTACTATATAAGGTATTATAGTAAGTATAAGATGTTATGTAAGAAATAAAAAGGTTTAAAAAAAAATTAGTAATTAAATACTTAGCTTAGAAGTCTAAGCACTTTAAGTATAAATTAAGCCTATTCTAGGTTTAGTTAGTGTTAAGGCAGTTTATGCTTAAGTTTATGTCTGTGTTGTGTTATGTTTATGTTAGACATGCACTAATAATACTCTAGTACATGTCTAATACAGTTATGTCTAGGATCTAGGGAGGATACTGTGACAATTAAGTAATATGCAAAAAAAGTATATATTACATTTATATGTTAACTAAAGGTAGCATTTAACCTATTTATTACTGTATAAACTATAAACTTTTTATATAATAATATTAACACACTTAACACATAAATCTAATAGTAGATAGATAATAGTAAGCATAGTCTTACTTTTTTACTATTATAGCTTAATTATATAAAGCTGTTTATCTTTATAAATAAATTATTTACTAATAATAAAAACTTTAGCTTATAGCTAAAATTTTTAATTATATTAAGTAATAAAAACTATATAGAGTAAAGTAACTACTTTAAAATACTAGGCAACATTATATACTAGAATTCTACTAAGTGTAAAAAAGTAACTAAAAGTGTCTTTACTAGTAAACTATATAGAATAGTTAAAAAGTTTAATAATATAATTACTTTTAGTATAACTTTATAGTAAATTATATAAATACTTAAACTACTACTAATTTTAGTAGTAATTTATATAAATTTAAAGTTTTTATATAATTACTTTATTAAGCTAAGCATTACTAGTAAAAAGTAACTTATAATTAACATTATGTTACTCTATAAATTATATAAAAAAAAAATTACTAAAATAAAGTAAATTAATAGTAAAAATAACTTAGTAGATGCATGTATAAAGAAAACACTAAACTAAGCTTTTTAATTATTAGTTCTAACTAACTACCTCTCTGTCTAGATAGAAGCATCTATAGACTAGCTAGATCTTATGTGTAAAGATGCTTTAGACTAACTAGACTAATAACACTTTTATATAAGGCCTATTTTTTTTATTTTTTTTTATTATACACACTTATTTTTTTTATTATAAGATTAGAAAAGAAAAATATATATAAAAAAATAGTTTATTTATCTAGTATATAAAAAAAAAAAGCTACTACCTTTTATATATAGTAGTTATAATGCAGACTACAGCTCTACTATACGCATAAGGTGTAGGCATTAGCCTAAAAGTTAGCTAACATATAACACTTAATAAAAAAAAAAGCACTAGTAGTGCTACTATAATAATAAGTATATAAAGTTACTAAAACTTAACTATAACTTTAAACTAAAACTACATAAAAGTACTTTTTATAATATATAACTTTTGCTACTTACAGCTATAAATTAGTGCTAGTAAGTAAAACAACATTAATATTATAAAATAGTAAAGCTGCTATATGCTGCTTTTTAGCCTATTTATAATTAGTATTTTATAAAAAAAAAAGTAAAAAAGCTAAAAAATTTATATATTTATGCTAAGACACTAAATAAACTACTAATTAGTAGTAGAACTAGTTAGAAGAGTAACACAAATGCGCCCTAGGCTGCTAGACTGCATAAGGACGTTAAAGACGCCCACACTAACAGCGCTAAAGGTAGAGGAGGAAGGCTAGAGAGACATCTCTCTCTCTCTCTCTCTGTGTGTGCGTGTGTGTGTGTGTGCAGGCAGGAGTATCTGTTACTATTAGCACTGTATAAAAAAAAAAAAGAGCTAAGAAATAGTACAGTAAGGCTTAAAAAGTAAAGAATAAAGAAGAGAAAGTAAAAAAAAAAAAAGACCTTATTATATACACCTCCTTACACACCTGCCTACGCAAAAATTCTACACTATTTTAGCATAAAACTTTACATAAAATAGTTTATACACTACTAAATTACTTATAAAGTAAGTATATAAAGGCTAGATAATAATAGCTTAAAACACTTTACACTATTTATAAAGCTATTTATATAGTGTAACTAGCTTATTTTAATGTACAGCATTACTAAAGCAAGTTCTAATAAATAAGGTAAAGTAAAAGTAAAATGTAATTAGATAGACTTATATAAATAGAAAAAAGGTAACACATATAAAAGGTAACTTTTTAGACAAAAAGAAAAGTTACTAGTGTCTGTACGCAGCAGTAGTGTTGCAGCCTAGATATAAATAATTATGTATAAGTAAGATTATATATCTATATTATATAATGCTTATGCGTAAACTTTTATACATAAACATTTAAATATCCCCCTTTTTCTCTGTATAAAGGAAAGATAAGAGTAATAGAACTAGAAACATGTTGCCCTTACCTTACCTACCTTATACGCTGTGCACACTGTACACTACTCTTACTCTTGCTACTTAAGTGCTTATACCATAAGCAGCTAGCTGTCGGAGCCCATTTAACAGTAACAAAATATGCTGCTCTGTATACTATTTAAAAAAGGGCTTCTCTTCTTATATTTCTTAGTCTTTCTGCTAAGATCGGAATGCTCAAGCAACAAGCAACAGGTGATGTAACCTAACCAGATTAAACATAAGGAGGAAAGGAGCTGCTCCGCAGTTTGAAGATATACCTCTTACCTAGGCGCTACGCGCCGCCACACTTTCTTTTCACTTTTAAGTTGAGAATTAAGGCTAGAAATGGGCTGGTAAAATGTTATTTAAAATATTATTTTTGGCTAAGGTGGCATTTGTTAACGGAAACGAAAGCAAGCGCAACAAATTCTTTGCTAGATTCGCCGAAATCCCCCTGTACTAGTGTCCCTTCAGCAGAGCACTTTTGCCTGATTCCTTTGCATTTATAGCACTCTTTTATCTTCCGGGAATTAATAATCTTCATTTCACAAATGTATTCTCTCAGACTTCTCTCGCAAAGGTAGATAGGCTTGAGGATAGGCGAGCTCACCCTGGTGGGAGCCAAATGAGTGTATTGAAAGATGGTGTAAGGACTGACACACCCTATACTAACCTCTAAGACTCTCATTTGCAAGGCAGAACGCTGCGTCCTATCGCTTAGTTTCGCTCTAAGCGAGATCAGAGTCTGCATGGTGTGGTGTAACTGTCCATATTTTGCCGGAGTGTCACATTCCGTCCTGCGACACCTGAGATAGTCTATCGCGTGAAAGGGAGATTCTCTCCCAAATTACACCCCGAGATGTCTTCGCTTCGCAAGTTGGCACAAATGATCAGCGCGATCGCCGATCAGCTTGAGCAGCACAAAGAATCCTGCGGTTCAGACGGCAGAACAGAATCGAAGGAGTGGCTTCAAACCTTGCCAAAAGAGTTAGGACAAAGTCGTCTGGACCTCATTGATGCCATCCAAGACTTGAAAACCCAAGTGCAGAGTACTGAATCGTGCCTCGAAGACCTCCTATTTAGTGTACGGAGATTACACAACCCTTTGAAAGACGTAGTTGACAACCATGCAGTATGCCAATACCACCTCTCTTCACATTATTTATGCATTGAGGCTTCCCCAGTATATACCAGTTACCGAATGTGCATCGTACAGCAGCATAGCAGAGTCATGTGGAGTCAATGAGGCTGTGTTGCGCCGATTGTTCCATTATGCTATGACGAATCGCCTGTTCACTGAGCCGAAACCAGGATACGTGGCTCATACTCCCATGTCTCGACTTCTACTTTCGGATTCGGATGCTTTCGATGCTCTTGGAATGACTCTTGAGGAAATGATGCCTGCTTCTCATGAACTCTTGGCGGCAATCAACAAATACCCTAAATCAGTTGAGCCAAATGAGACGGCCTATAACATTGCTCATGACACCAACCTACCTCTGTACCAGTTTTTAGCTAAGAATCCGGAACGAGCTCGTCGATTTGGTGCTGGCATGAAATACTTCACACGAGGTGATCACACCGACCTCAAACACGTTCTCGAAGCGTTTCCGTGGAAGGATTATGATCGGGACAATGTTCTCATGGTGGATGTGGGAGGGGGCCATGGCGTTGTGACTGCTAAGATTGCAGATGCAACTTCAAAGATACGCTTCATCGTTCAGGACTTGGCACAGGCTGTGGAGGTTGGGAGGTCGTCACTTCCGCCAATCTTGAAATCCAGAGTGGAGTTTATGACCCACGATTTCTTCCAGGATCAGGTTGTAAAGCATGCGGATATATACTTCTTCAGGTGGATCATGCACAACTGGAGCGACAAATATTGCCTACAGATCTTGCGGAGTCTTACACCGGCGATGAAACCTAGAGCTAAGGTTTTGCTTTATGAACATGTTCTCCCAGATGTCCCGAATGACAAACCAAGCCAAAAAGGCGGAATGTGAGTGCATGGCTATCCCTACTAGTTAGCCTCAAATGGATATTAACAAGGCTAAGGTACCTAGATATGGTAATGTTGGGTTGCTGCAATGGTTGCGTACGTACCGAAAAAGATTGGCAGAAGTTGTTCTTGGACGCAGATGCAAATTTTACTTTGGAAGGCATTAGAAGAGTTCCTGGGAGTTCGTTGAGCCTCATTGAGGCTACGTGGAAGGAGTGAGAAATTTCAGACATATTAAGAACTTTGTAGATGTGCTGACAACATCTTCTTACTCGAGCACAAGGGTGAGATTCACACCCGTGGAACACAGTTAAATTCTGTCAGGAGCCGCTCATTCCATCTCTTTTTCTGCAATTGGCCTGCTAGCAGGGAGGGTGGCTGGCTCACTCTGGCCAGACACTTGTGAGCTCCTCGCTAGAGAAGTATCCTCCTGTATCGTAGCAACCGACATGCCCACACTCTGTGTTTTCAAAGTAGAAATGTATTAATGCATTGCTTTCTACCCGAAGGCAATAATGCCGCCCTTGCGTTGCCTTTTCTGCTCTTCGTCTTGGCAGGAAGTACTGTAAGATATAGCTGATATCATTCTACCCACCTGTACTGACAGTCTAAAGCGCTACAAGAAATAAGGGAAATAGGATATGTAACGCCATAAAGGTTGGCAGACGTTGTGAGAACCGAAAGAAAGCCAGTGTTCATGTGGAGAAGGAACTGTCTATCCCTTGCAAACCATCCAACTCCAGAATATCTCCCGCTCTATTGAGTCAAATATTGCCTAGAAGTGTGAGACTAGGCATCTTATCAAGATTGAGACGTACTCTCTTCTCTACGTCCAACCATCATTTCAACATCTTCTTGCCTATTCGAAGCAAAATCAAGCTTTCCTACATACCACATACTACAGACTCCTAGCACGATGGCCATAGGTATGGCATCAAACACGTAGATAGGCCACTCAGTGCTAAGAAGATATCCATCATCTTGTGTTGACAAGTTAGCAAGTCAGTGTTCACTCTCCCTTTTCGTCTGCCCTTTCAGGAGAGGGAAACTTACCACCTAGAGCATACTCAATAACACGAAACAGATTCCTGAGTGTAATGATGATACTAGCCATATAAAGCATAATCAAATACCTCTCCCAGTTCCACTCACGCAGCACCATTTTCCGGTCATGCCTCTTCCGAATGCGTAAATGGAACACCAATCCCACAATCATGAACCAGCCAAAGATCACAATCTGTGTAGCAAGTCCTACTAGAACGATGGTGTTTGCCAGGTCTAACTTCTTTTTTGTGGTCGCAGTAGAAAGCATTGCCGCACCCACCATCTGTACAAAGAAACAGAAGATATCGCTGCCGACGAAGGTAATTGTCAGCCATTTGGGTCGCATCATGGAATAGGACGCGTAGCCTGTAGCGAAGATGATGCGGCTTAGGAACATGTATATTGAGGCAGCAAATAGAATCGGTGCGAGGAGGATGAGAATGGCCTGGATGAGGAAGGGGCTTTGTGCGTAGGGGTGGCTGTTTCCATAGGCGCGGGCTGCGTAGCCGATCACTTCGACTATGAGCCACGTAAGATATTGACTTAGGTAGAGAGCGAGACGAGGAGTCTTATGAGAAGAGAGAAACGGCGGAAATATTAACATACATATTGCTCCAAGGATGAACGGGATGCAGAACCACGTTCGTGTTTTGTAAAGACGAAAGACGTGGACGACGAGAAGGATGATGAAGACGATAACTCCGATTACCCCACCTGCAACAGAGGGGATGTAAGAATAGTATTGTTCGCCTTCTGCCATGGTGGAGCGAGGCTTCCAGATTCGATTGGCGTGGAATGGAATCGGTAGTTTCAATGAGCGGCAGTCGTAGGGGGATTAAATGACACTCAATAGGTTGTGCGGATGGTATCCAGATTAGAATAGTAATGATATATGGGGTGAAGAAGATGTCTAGAATGGGGTAGCGATGAGAGTTCTCGAGAAGGTGAACATGTTGAATTTAAAAGGTAAAGTATCGTTTGAATCTCGCTACAATTAACAAAAGGGGAACCCGAAACGAATGCAACACTGACAGCAGTCGTCATAGAACGAGGCTAAGGTTATCATTTTTTTTATTTCTATATTACAGGCTGTGGTATAAAGGGGTGATTTGTGTCATTGCCTGTGAGGTATGTGAGACACATTTGTATGGGGACGTGTGATAGCTGCGTGGCTTAGACCTAGTAACGAGAACGAGAACGAGAACGAGAACTAAGGCAAAACAGGATGAGTCAGGCCTCTTGAAATCGCACGCCCGAGCTAATAATGATAATAGCAGAGTTCAGTATTAAAGGTAGCCTTTATGTTAGCTTACTGTTGCTGCTGAGCCCTAAATGGGTAGTGTTCGGAATCAACAGGTGGCAGTTGGTCCACCTGCAGGTGCTTAATAGGGGTACGGTAGGCTAGTCGTTTTAACAGCTGTCAGGGAATCTTATATAGAGTTTTCTGTCAAATCTTCCCTGGCGCGGGTCGGAGGGGGGTTAATAAATTCACAGCTTGGCATTAAGAGTTGATTACATGTCGATTAAATGTCGCTTAAAATGGGTTAAATTTTATTAATTCACTATAAAACCTAATTCTGCTGCATGACTATAGATTGTACTATATCATCCTTAATTGTATAGTAAAATAAACACTGTTTTAAGTTAGCTAGCTTAGTAGTAGGATATGTTAGCTAGTCTTATAACATACACTACTATTAAGTAACCTACACTATTAAGTAACTTAAAATCCCTTAGCATCTTAGCAAATCTAACTTATCTTAAAGAACATTAAATTAATTACTATTAAATAAAAAACTTACATATGTTATACTTTTTTAAATTTATATAGTTATTATTAAAGTAAGCGCGCACATATAGTGTTAGTATAGAGATACACTGCTAGCATTATAAAGGAATACCTAGAGCTAGGATACCTAGCTAAATTAGACTAGTTTTAGTTTAAAAATAAAAAAAACATTATAAAGCTTCTAGTTATAAGCTTATTTTATTAACTAGAAATTATATTAATATTTAGTTATCTTACATAATTTTAGTAAGGAAAATAAAGCCTAAGGAACGCTAAGAAATGCCCGAATTTTTGCATATAATAGATGCTATATTACGCTATCTCTTGGGTCTTCTATGCACTCACGCAAACATAATACCCTAACCACAACGTCTTACAATCGCTCCCTACGTTCGGATTCCATCGATTGAAATTCGCTTTAGTAATGCCATACTGTTTGATGATCTCATCGCACGTATTCCCATCAGCGACTTTGTGCCATTTTTTGCACCCGCAAACCGCACCCGGCTGGGTAGGTGTCGGTGCCGTTGGATTGCATGTAGGCGTTGGCTTTAAGCTTGTGGACGAAGGTTTAACTGTTGGTGTTCCTGGAACAGCTGCAGTTAAACTTTGGTCAGCAATTGATGAAGAGCAATTGGAGAACACAGACATACCAACACAGTAGTAATAATCCAACCAGAGCCCGCCGCAGTCAGCGCCTACGGCAGGATTCCACTTCAGAAAGTCCGCAAGACTAAACGTTCCATACTTGTCCACTACCTTCTGGCAGTTGTCCCCACTCACGGCTTTGTAGTATTTCTGGCAGTTTGCTACAATGCCTGATTGCGTGGGCGAAGGTCCGGCGGATTTCGTTGGAGTCGTGCTCGGAGGCTTGGAGGTTGGCTTTGCGGTTGGTGTACCTTCAAACCCATGTGAGCAAATGTCGAAAAACCAGTCTCCCTGCGCTTACCAGGTACTCCAACGCAGTAGTAATAATCAATCCATAGTCCGCCGCAGTCGCTTCCGACGGCCGGGTTCCACGCCAAGAAGTCCGACAAGGTGAACGTTCCATAAGTCGCGACGATCGCATTGCAGTTATCATCTTTCAGTGCTTTGTAGAACTTCGTGCAGGTATTAATTAGACCTTTTTGCGTTGGGCTTGGCTTTGGTGAACCGGTGGCAGTTGGCGTTGGCGTCTTGCTCGGTGAGGAGCTCGTTGTTTTGCTAGTGGGACGAGGTAGACCATAGTTCACCTCGACGCAGTAAGAATTGCCAATTTTGAGGCCGCTACAATCAGATTTCACGCTTGGGTTCTATTTATGCAGGGGTAAGCAAGTGCGGTGCGGAAGCCAAGATGCCTGCAAGCAGAGTGCCCCTTACCCAGTCGACGAAATCAGTATGCGATATGCTCCAACTTTTCTCGAAGAAGTTGCAAGTGTATGAGATATCGAGGGCAGTATCGAAGTAAGTGCAGTCTGGCGCTGTACCGGGATCTACTGGACCATCTTGTCTTTCGACTTTGGTCCGCAGCGAGGCGGCAGGTGCCACGAAAAGCAGAGAAGCGACAAAGAAAGAGATTCTCATTCTGCGAATAGTTCTCGACGTCCTAGGGTATTGGGATTTCATGTGTTAATGTATCGCATTACCGCTGACCCGCCGTTTCCGTGTATGACCCAAAAGGGAAGTCTTGAGAACGCCAGGCTATGCTCAAGGATTCTTCTTGGCATCTGTAGCCGATCTCCAAGCACTATATGAACCCTCTATTACCCTGGGTCTTCATCTTTCCTAATACCCACTCCTCCTGCATCTTCTTCCTTCCAATACCTCCGCCCTTTTTCCATTCGCCCTGCGTCAGACGGCCACGCCGAATTCCTCCTCAACAGTTACTAAGTCTTCCCACCCTTTCCATAAATACTCGCGCGAGCATGCATTGCTAATATACCCAGGATTTTTCCACCCAACGCAATGGCAAACCTTCTCAGCGTACTAGATAGTCTCTTGCACATACCTGAGGATGAGATTTTACCTGCAGGCACCGACCTCACCCCGTACTATCGACCCTGGGGATTCACCATTTACCGGACTGCTTATGGACCTTCTTCCGGCCGGCACTGGCAGGCGCTCCTCGATGACATCCGGGCTGATGTAGTCGAGCAAGTGACCGGCCCAGATGGGACGCGCCAAGCCGATCCCGTCGCCCAGCAAGTATTATCACTTTTTCGCTTGGACATACGGTCCGATGCCGAGACCCTCGACGGTCTCGACATGGAGCACATCCGAAGAATATACAAAGACGAAATTGGGGGCCAGCCGATGAATGCAAATCACCGAGAGCGGAGGTATTTTCTGCTGGTCGATGAGGGTGTCATCGAAGAGCACCGAGCCAAGGCAAAAACACCGGCGTATAAGCCATGGATTAAGTGTGTCGAGGTGGACTACGTTGCAAGTGATTACGTTCCTAGGAATGCCAGGCTAGGTGGACAGCGATACTTTGGGTGGATGAAGATGACGACAACGAGTGTGCCCCAGTTATGGAGCATGTTGGGGTTGAAGTGGCTTTCAGAGATCACACCAGCGACTACTGTAGGAGCAGAGATGGAAGTCTGGGACGAGCAAGGAGATTTCTTCTAATACCCCACAAAATTTGTGTATATGCGTGTAATGATCTTGCTGGTTGCTATGCCCAGAAACGATCATGAATAGCAGAAGTTCATGAGATATCTTGAAAGGTACAAATGGGATTTTAGGCTTCAAGGTGTCTGTTAAGTTTCATCCCTCCATTATTTATCCATCAATACAACCCTAGTTGAAACCCCGAGTATCAATGTTCAAATTGTCAAGCTCATCCTGAAAACTACTCAGAATCTCGAGCACCTCATCCGTCAAATCATGCGTACTAACGCCCCAATACAACCTCATCTGTCTGATACACTCCTTCACAAAATCCACTGTGTGATTAACGATGAACGTGTTGAAGAAGTCTTTGCTCCATTCGCGCCAGAATTCGCCAACGGCTACAGGAGTTGCAGGGTTTGCTTGATTGTAAGTTCGCTGACCATGGAACCATTGGGAACCGATGTCGTTGATAATATTTGTTAGCTTTTGGTTTACTAAGAGTAAGGAAATGTTAGAGGAGCTCTTTAAGCTACGTAGGTCCGCATATTTATAAGAAAGGAATAACGGAGGTCGTCAATAGAGTCACTAAACTACCACCGAGGAAAAGACGTGATTGGGTGGAATTAGATACGTACTGTTGGGGGTGCCTTGATGATTGAGGTAATGAATCAGACCTATTGAAGCTCGTACTCGTGTCAAAACGTAGCCTGGGTCGTCGTAGTTGGAACAAAGTGCTGGCAGCCGAGTGCGAGCTATGGGATCTTGCCCTTGCATCAACTAGCGCATGGTTAGTCTCATTAGGGCTGTACTGTGTTTAACAAACATGACTCTGGGTGATTCAAGACTGAGCGGAGACGTGATGGGTTTGAGATCCAATCGAATGATCGTACGAAGAAAGAGTGGGGAAACGTACGAAAGTCTTGACATAATTGATGTCTTTGTGGGCGATGACGAAGTTGGCGGTACTCCATTCGTTACCCACGCTTGCCATCACCCTATCAAACAACCTCACAAGGCTGTCTGCCCCTCCGGGAAGGGTAGGTGCCCCAGGTAAAAGAGGCATGGTACGAGCCGTTCGGAAGAATGAAATCGCGACCGGCCCGGTTCTTGCTGTTGAACCGCTTCTTAGCCTTGAACATGTCAGCAAACACCTCATACTGCGTTGGTTTGGAATCATGAAAAGCACTTGGAGACAAAGTACCGTCCCTAAGGGAGTCTGTGGCGAGGGCTGCGGTACTTGTAAATAGGGATACAGAAAACTGTTTTTACCTTCCAGCTGCTGCATCCTGCATGAAGCGCCCAATCAAGTTACCATCGAAAGTATGTTCCACTGTCCCTGGTATCAGCTGATTTCATGGAACAGATGATGAAAATCGGCATACTCTCGAATCTCTCTGCGCTTGGAAGTGAGAAGTGCGCTACGCGAGTATTCTCACAGTCGTCTCTATCCGCAAAGTCCACAGCCTCGTCATTCATGGGATCGGTGGTAGCTAGGTCGTATATGCCTTGATACTAAAGTTAGAGTCAGCTTCGGATTCTTTGCATCTTCCTCTAAGCCTGGCTATGTATTGCCGAGTAAGTTGTAGTGCAGTGGTAACTTGATGAGCATGCATACTTACCCGGGGAAGGGTAGTGGTGATCGTAATTTGACCTCCATGCCCATCATTCAACGTATGTGAATAGTCTCTTGCAGATAGAATCCTCTTGTCGAGCAGTGATCTTCCTTCCACACCGTCACACGAGTCTTTGGTACAGATACCATCAATACAGACAAGCTTCTTCTTACCGGCTCGATCGCTCCAATAGTGTGGACTGCAGATAATGCTGTGTACAATCTGTATAGGACCTTCACTTCCATAATTGGGAAGGCGAGTAATGAAGCTGCGAAGGCCCGATATCTTCAAGTTCGGATACTTATCCCCAACTGAGTCATCCCAAATCTTTTCCAAAGCTTCCAGCATTCCTGTTGTCGCTGACTTCGTGACTAACAACAGCAAAAGCCCATTAGCGGAGTTGACGCCGTCCGCTTCACTCCTTACCGTTAGTTCACCGTTTCGAATTCGGTTTCGCATAAAACGATCGGTGTTAATCATTCCTACTGCGCGAGAATCGAATATAGGGCCCGGATTCTTGCAGGTTGGATTGTCCAGATATCTCTTCATATCAGAGCGATACTGGTCGAGTTTTGGGTTCTCCACCTCGACTGTATCAGAGTAGCTTGGGATACAGCAACGAGCTTTGCCGCCTCCACCTCCACCTACGTAACAGTCCGTTGACCATTGATCCATGGCAACGCGAACCCTATCGTTCGGGCAGCCACTTCGACAGAACTTTTCTGGAGCTCCTGAGGGACCGAGGCCATAGTTATTGTACCATTCGCAGTCGGACCACGTCCCTTTCTTCTCGCTGGTATCACAGCAGAACTTTCGCTGCTGTACTTCGAATATACCGCTTCCTGGCGCACCCAGTTTCCACATATTGCAAGACCCGCCCCCAGTCCCACCCGATGAAACAGCTAACAAAGTGTTCTTTGAAGAGTCGGAACCCGGGCACCCTGCCTGCGAGTTACACATGGGGTACTGTCCCCATTCGCATTTCATATATAACTTCATGCTCTTGCTGCCGGTCGTACAGCATGCCGCCTGGTAATTCTTCTTGCAGTACATGTTGTTGGAGCCCACCTCGACCGTTCCATCAGGACACTTCTGATCGCAGTTTCCATTGTGGTGCGTGTACCATCCACATGTGGGTAGTTTGTCGTTGGTCGGGCAGCAAAAGGCATGAACTCCGCTCCCAGCGCACGCGCTTTCATCCAACATGTACTCTTTCCCACGTTTACCAGAGTCTTCTCGCGTCATATGTACCCATCCGCTTGGGCATCCTTCGCCGCAGTTGGTCCATTTGCATTGCGGATTTGGAAAGTCGACGAACTTATAAGGCTCATCAGATCCGTCTGTCATTGGCAAGGATGTGATCTTACGATTCGCAACCTTCGCGAGCGCTTTGTTGTACTTGGTATCTTTCGTGTCGTGGCTGATTGCCCAAACCATCAGTCCGCCCAGACAGTATGTCTGTGCAAACTCGGACTTCTGCGCGAATGTTTCCTCGTCATCGTAGGCTACCCATTGATTTCCCCACGTAGCTACCTTGACAGCCTCTTTCTTGTAGTGTTTAGGCTTGACTTTATTCTGCTTTACCAGATCATCAATTTCAGAATTCAACAAGATGCCAACTTCCCTGCTACACTTTCCTCTCTCGCCGCCTGATTCGAAGGTACATCCAGGCTCAAGACATGACTGAGATGTTGCTGAGAAGGCCCGCCCGTAAAAGCCAAGTCCCATAACAACTTGCCCGGGGTCTATATCGTTCCTCCATATGAGGTCGAGAGCATCCTTGATCTCGGTGAGATTCGTGTGTGCATTGAGGAAGTTGCCTGTCCATTTGTTGCCCTTGTCCCAGGTACCATGCAAGTCGTATGACCTACGTGTTGAATGTCAGTATCACTCAAATGACACAAAGTGCCCGACTTACATGACATTGAACCAGCTCACCGATTTAGCCAGTGCTTTCAGATCGAAGTGCTGCAGATACCAAAAGGAAGCCGGGAGAGTGATGGAAATAGCCTTACTAGCGGAATCTAGCGATGACTTCAAACGTGCCATGAACTTGGGGAAGTTGTCGAAATCAACTTCTCGGCCGGATCGGTCATCCGCTGCTGGATATTCCCAGTCAAGGTCGACCCCGTCGAATCCGTACGTGGACATGAACGAGAGCAGTGACTCGATGAACGACTTCTGTCGCGGAATTGACGCAGCTAAGTCAGAAAATGTGGTTGCTGTAGGTCCCGGATCATTAAATGTCCATCCTCCAATGGCAATGAACACTTTAAGATCAGGATCTTTCTGTTTCAGCAACATGATACGCTTGTAGAGGCTGACATCATCGCGGGCGGACGGCCCAACCTTGAAGGTTTTTGGATCGATTGTTGCAAATGCAAAGTTGATGTGTGTGTAGAGGCCGACAGGTATCTGCTCTGGCCAGAAAACATTGCAAGGGCGATTTGACACCCACCCTTCGTAGTAGCCGATTATGCGCTGGTTGCCATTATTCTTCGAGCAAGTCTTGTGAGATACTGTCTTGTTGCCGCAAAAGTCTTGGGTAGTCTACAGAAACATTAGGTAGAAGAAGTTATAAACCTGCGTAATGACTAACGCCGCAGTAGCCATGCTTTGAACAGCAAACATTCAATGGGCATTTTTCCTTCTTAGCCCATTTTGAGTCAAATCCGGGATTGCATTCAGACTTCCTATCACAATCCGAAATGCACTTATCGCCGCAATCTTTTGAAAGTCAGCTGCCATGACCAACAGGAGTACTGGATCACATTGAAGGAATTTTATCATTGAAATATTCCCTTGGAGTACTCGCGTGTATAATTCAGAATGTCAACTCATTGAAGCTGGACTTCAGGGAGTTTTTCAGATGCAAGATGAGACGTTTTTTGGAAGGCGTGCCTATATATGAAGCAGGAGTTAAGACTTACAATCGGGACCAAAGCCGCAAAATCCATTTGTATTGCAGCAGCCGTTCTCACAACGGCTTGAAGAACTGCATGTCTGGGCTACTGCACCGCCAGCAAGGAAGAAGCACAGTATCAGAACGCGCAATATCATCTTGATTCTTAAGACAATCGCAAGGGAAACTTCGAGGAGTAAAACCCTCGAAAGCTGGCACTGCCCGAGAATAATCTACAAGCCCCGACTCAGGTCATGCTCTTTTTTGAAAACAGCCATAGCTCCCGCTTCGAGGATCTGCAAAGGACCTGCAGAGATTCACAAGGGTCGCGAAATCCCTGTGTCAGCCTTCTAATTTCATTATTGCGATACTCGCCCATTGCAAATAGACGGCGTTTTTGATGATGCCAATAGACACAAGTATTCACCAACTCATTAAAAATATTACCAGAGCCCCAGCGAAGACCGATTAGAACGTATGTCTGAACTATAGAGAGTGCGGGTTTAATTTCTAACGGGTGAGCTTGAAGTGAGCTTGAAGGCGAACCAAGGTATAATATTAGCTACCACAACTCTTCGCGCGATTGAATAGCCTATATGCAGTCTTGAGAAAAAGTAAAATAGTAATAAATGGTAGGAATATGAATCATGCGGGGCGTAACAGGTGCTAGGCGCAAAGAACGGGCGGTTGCTGACTATGTTTCGGGCACTCCTGCAGGTACATATTGCAGTTACTTGGCTGTAATCAATTCACAGTGTTGGAGACCGAAAGACCGTCAGATATGAAATTGTGAAAATTTTCGGTTTTCAACGGCGGACTTCTAGCAGCGTAGAGGCCGTCTAAATAATCTTTCTAATCGTGATAACTTGCTCACTGAGGTGACAGCGCGTTGTCAAGATCCGCGAGGACTCTATCCTTTATCACCAATGCCAACTCGCGCAGTCTCTCAGAGGGCTTCTACGATTGAAACTCAACATACTTTCCATTGCTGTCTACGACCATGGTGCGGGTTTCACGACAGACTCTTGCGCTCTCGCTCCTGAGCGCAATAGTGCATGGCTTCGTGATATACGACAGCCAAAAGCTCGATGTTACCCTTGGCGAGGGTTGCATCAACTCTCTCTCCGCGAACATCAACTGCGCGGACTATGTGCAGACCTTCATGATGCTGAGTTATCGCGGCTCGTTGGAGAATGTCACCATGACCGACACAGTCTGCACAAGCGACTGCTCCGGGTCGCTCAAGAATTGGTACGTAAGATAAATTTACACATAATTCGGTTACTGTGTTTTATATCAGTTGACCTTGTTCGATCGTTATGGTGTCACGGAGGCAGACGGTCGCGGTTGCAAGCCATTCGTCGCGCGAAGCAAGGTCTGAGCCCTGTTCATAGCAACTATGCTAATCGTGTTTCGAACTGTAGGTTTGATTCTGTTTCGAAGAGTTGCGCCGGTAAGACGCTCAATGATGCGGTGCCAATGAAGTTTGGAGGGTACATGTGGGCAGGCTTCAACGAGACCTGTGTCAAGGATCCCAAGACGAAGCAGTATTGCAATGGTAGGCGATACCTGTCAAATCTTAGCAAACACTCATCCATCCTTCAGACATCATCGCCAAATTTACCAATGTTGACAACATTACCAAGATGCCTCAGACTGAACTGTGCCATACCTGCAACGTTCGCCGACTCAGTATCATGCAATCCTCTCAGTACTCTATCTATGACAGCTTTTATAAGACAGAACTGGAATATGTTTACGCTCAATGCGGCCTAAAAGGCCCGACCGATATCCCTCCACCACTCACAGCCACCCAACCAGATGCCTCACCATATTGCGTGACCGGCAAGCGGTATACAACGAAGAAGGGCGACACTTGCGAGTCGATTGCTAATTCCACAAGTGTTTCCGCGGCGGCGCTTTACATGGGGAATCAGGCGATCCTACCTGACTGTCGCGATGTTGATCCGGGTGCCAACCTCTGCATACCGATGACTTGTCAGACATACTATGTGACGAAGTCAGACACTTGCGCATCGATTGAGTCAGCACTCGGCATTGAACATGGTATGGTCCGCTCCTTCAACTCGTGGCTAAAATCCGATTGTTCCAACCTCCAGCCAGCGACGGACTTTTACGGAAAGATCATCTGCGTCTCTCCCCAAGGTGGGACATTTACTGGGACGTTTCCACCGCCAGCTCCGACTTCAAACCCAGGATTAGGTGACGGTTACACGAGGACGGCCATTCCACCACCTGAAGGCGCTACCGTTGCTCCAGGCACAACTCTTAATTGTGGAAAATGGTATGTCGTGAAAGGTGGAGACGCTTGCAGCAAGATTTGCATCCAGGCCGGTATTACCTCGAATCTCTTCCGCCAAGTCAATCCATCGTTGAAGGACGGTAGTTGCGATGCATTGTTGAAGCCCCAGAGCGCTTTGTGCGTCGGACCGACGTATTCGTGGAATACGACGCTTCCGGGGACAACTTCTATTGCTACGGCCACATTCGGTCTCCCTACTGGGACTAATAATACAGCAACTACGAAGTCATTGTTGTAGAAATTGTAAGCTGATGACTGATAATGCGATAAGAATCCGAGTTGAACAGCTTAGTATTCACACCAGAGAAATTGGGCCTAGGTAATAGTGGCCTATAACTAGAGGCTTTTAGCAGTAGCTTAACTGCTAGCTTGAGCGCTCCTGTTAAAGAGCTCTACTGTTTGAAGTGGTCACGCATTGTTCGCACGATAGGCTCATGTTGCCAACACTTACCCCTTTTTTTTTGCATATATATAGACCCCTAGATACACTCCTTTAGCAATCAATCCAGTTCCCCATGCCTCTGGTGCTCTTCCAAACTTCAAACCTACCCTAGTTACTATAGCTCCTACAGCAGAGCTAGAGCTAGAGCTACAAGACCTGCTACTGTTGCTATCTATTCCCTTAGTGCTTTAGCTAGGCTCCCTGCTAACCTATAGCAAAATTACTTATAATGAGCTGGTGACCAGGGGTATCAGCCAGAGATTAGCTGGCAGAATTAGGAAGGGCACGAAGCAAATCACAGCAACTGGCAGCAAACTGTAGTAATCTGCAGCAAATTGTAGCAAACTGCAATAAACTACAGTAGATTACAGAAACATGCAGTAAACTGCGGTACACATCGTTTGTATTGCAATAGGCACTAGGCTAGCTAGGTGTTGCGGTATAGAACCCAGTTCCGTGGCGAGGACACAGTTCTTCTTCTTCTTCTTCTTCATCGAATTCAACACTGTTATCAGGCAATTGCCAGCTGCGCCAAGCCATTGCAGTGGTATTAGAAGAATTATATTACTATAAACTTTAGTATATTACTCTTGCTAGTAGTGCTACGGTAGTATATTGTGGTGGAACTACGTGAGAGTAGTGTTTCTGGTTAAGAGGTGCTGGGCAGGTGGAAGGCCCTATTCAACACCAGGGGTTTAGAACAAAAAAGAGGACTAGGATAGTATTAGGTTAGCAGTCATGTAGTGTGTACATCACATGAAAGTGACCCGATACAACCTCGAGGTGGGGGAGGGGACCCAGCACTTCACCACCCAACACTAGTGTGTTAAGCATGAATAAACCACTTCAATATTAATAACTGTACTCTTGAAATTATACCTAGATTTAATATGTCTTTCTAGAATGAGCTTTAGTTAATGTAGGTAGACTCTCTTTTTAATTAAATTTTAATACTATTATTTCGCTTTTGTCATTTGGGTTAAATATTATATTTAGATTTATTTATCTTAAGAGTCTGCAAGTGTTGGGGCCCGAGAAGTTGAATATCTGCCAAAGCAAGAAAATAGTCTACTAGCTAGGACACAAGAATCAGGTAACAATAGCATAACATAGATAGAGTTTCGCAGGGAAGAAGACGCATGCCCAACTACAGAGACAGCTTTATTCTTTGATTTGGACCGAAGTGTAGGATATTACGACCCAAAAGGGTTTGGATGATGACACAAATACACTTGGTGTCGGACCTGCGCTTCATTGCTATCTAGAGCATTAGGTAAAGAAAAGTGATTTTCAATCAAAGAGGAAGGTGGCACCAGCGTGGCCAACAGTCCGTAGTACGTAACGTAACTACGTGAACGTAGTAATCACGTAAGGAGTACAAAAGTAGTTAAAATGTGAGACGTAACTTTTGTACAGTGAATTGCTAAGTACGTCCTGTAGTACAGGTCAGAGAGGTTATATTTTAGGAGATTTCCCTCCTATTTTTAGACCCTATTAGCTATTGCGTTAGGAGCTTTGTTTAAGGTTGCGTTTTAGAGTAACAATTATAAAAATAGTTAACTTTTGCCCTAGAAAAGCTTCTTATTGTAACGGCGCAGGCAAGACAATGGGTCCGAATGCGGTGGGAATCCACTCAGAGGCATATGGGAGTGCGTGGGGACTCTGAACCTGGGAATGCCATTAACACCTATAGGCCTTGTACGAAAGGATATCAGAAAACTACCGAGCTAGCTACGGGGGCGAGGTGCGACTAAATACATGAAGGAATAGGGGTACAGCAGGGGTCGGGGCCAGGTCGGGGTCGGGGCCGATACGGGGGCCTTCCGGGCCATCCGAGATGGAACGATTCATGAGGATCGTTACACTTATCTTATACCTGCCTATTTGCTAACTTATTACCTATCTTATTAATTATTATAATAAGCTAGATGTCTTAATTCCTCTATTGCAGCAGGTGTACAGCCTTATTCTAATTCTCTTACTTATTAGAGTTGTTCTAACAAGCTAGAGACAATGTCACGGTATCCTCCCCGGATCCCAGACATAACCGTATTAGACGCGTACTAGAGTATTATTAGTGCACATCTAACACAAACACAACACAACACAGATATAAACTTAAGCATAAACTGCCTTAACACTAACTAAACTTAAAATAGGCTTAATTTATACTTAAAGCGCTTAGACTTTTAAGCTAAGTATTTAATTACTAATTTTTTTTTAAACCTTTTTATTCCTTACATAACATCTTATACTTACTATAATACCTTACATAGTAATTAAACTAGACCTTTGTAAAGCTTTATAACCTTACTTATGTATAATTATAATATTATGTTGTGTTAAAACTTTAGCTAAAAATAGCTTTTAAATTTAATTTAATAAGCTTAGTACTTATATAACTCTAAGCTATTAAAGTAAGCTAAAAAGCTTTCTAAAAAGCGCTTACTTTATAAAAAAGCTACTATGTTATAAACTTAAAAGCTTTTTAAAAAGACTTTAAAAAATAGCTTTATGTTATTAAGCAGTCTGTTTTTACCTTAACTTTTATTATAGTAGTAAGAACTAAAAACTTACTAGCTTTAAAGCTTACTTAGAAGTCTAGAGATAGCTTAACTCTTTCCTATTTAACACTGCCTATAACTTATAACTTTTTTAACTTAGTAATAAAATCTAACTAACTCTCTAATCTCTTACTATTTAATAAAAAATAAAAAAACTTACTTTTCTTTTTACATAAGCTTTAATATAAACTTAAAGGAAATATAGACTAATTTCTTTTTAAACACTTTTAGTTACTATATGCTTACTTTTAACTTAACTATAATGTAACAGCCTTAATTAACTTACTAATAAATAAAAATATTATTAACTTAGATTAATTTATAGTGTTTTTATAAGTAACTTATAAAGACTTAAATAAAAAGTTAATAGCTCTAAGTTACCTAAACACTTTATAATAAAGAAAAAAAAGCTTTACTTTACACTTTACTAAGTTCTACTAACTTACATTTAATATAGGCCTAAATAAAATAAGTCTAATTATAGCTTTATATAACTCCCTCTTAACTAAACTGCAACGCGCTATAGTAGAAAAACCTCTTCTAAACAACTTTAACACGTATGTAAACCTAATTACTACCTATAATAATAACATAAAGTTCCTCTTTATATAAGCTCTAATACACTTTTAAACTAGCGCAGTTATAAATAAAGACTCTAATATAATAAAAATTAATTTAAATTATGCTCTAGTTAGTTTTAGAAAGTGTAAAAATTATAAAAAAAAAAGTTAATACTTTAAGTGTAGTAAGCATAGTTATATCTTCTAAAACTGCTTTATTCTCTTTTTTTAAGTCTACGCAAGTAGCGCTGCTAGCACTTATTAAAAATTTTTACTATTTTAATCTTATTTTTATAAAAGCTTTAACTTATTTTTAAGCTTTAATTTTTTTTACTACTTTTAACATAGCTGCAGCTATAGTAGTAAAAGCCTATAAAAAGGCTTATCTTAGGGCTAAGTTGCCTCTTAGAACTAATTTAACACTAAATCTTTACTAACTTATAGGCTAAGTCCTTTACTAATAACTAAAAGTACTAAGTTAATATTCTTATATATTTATAATAAAAAACTATATTAGCCTTAATATAAGCTTTTATTAACTTAAAAGTAAATAGCATAAGTTATATTAATAAAGAACTAGTGTGTAAACTAAATCTTTAATTAACACTACTTACTTAAATAATTTACTTAACTAAATTTAATAAAAAATAACTTAAAAAAGGTTTTATTTTTTATACTATAACTATTATAATTACCTACTAATACTATAAGAAGTAGATTAAACTTTATGTAATAAACATAAAATGTTATAACCTAATTCTAGAATAACTATAGCTATATTAGCATAAAGTTACTTTTAATTACTAAAAGTAAGTTTTAAACTTTAACTTTTTTTAATACTAAAACATATGCTTATACTTACACTTAAATAACACTTAAATAGCACTTAATATAGAAGGTCTCTAGACCTACTTTCTAATAACTTAGAAAAGAACTATTTAAGTAAGGCTAACAAGCTAGGCCTTTTACTAAAATAGGCTATATAAAATAATTTAATAACTGCTTAAACCTAAAAAAAAAGAAGCCTTTAAAAAACTTCTACTTACTTAATTTAAACATAAACTAGGACTTAAACAGTAGATAGACATCTACTATATAAGACCTGCTCTATTTATAACTCTAGCTTAATAACTAAATTATAAAATCTACATAGTTATAATTTCTAATATAGACTAAGCTTTAGCTTTTTAAAAACACACTAACTTAAAAATAATAGTCTTTTAAGACTACTATAACTTGTTATATATTTTCTTTTAAAACAAGTTTAATAAGCTTTTAATATAATATTTATATAATTACTAAATAACTTTTAAGCTTAGCAAATAACCTAGTTATAGGCTACTATATAAGATGTTACTAAATAAATTAAAAGTGCTCTAAAAATACTTTAATAAGAACTTAAAAAAAAGGTTTATTTAAGCTAGCTTTTTACTAGTAGTGTTACTTATACTATTTATAAAGAAACTTAAAAGTAGGCTTTAATTTTATGTTAACTACTAAAAACTAAACACTATTACTATTAAAAACTAATACTTAATTCCTTTTTTATAAAAAACTTTAAGCTAACTAAGTAAAGTAAAGTATTTTATAAAGTTAGATATTATTGCTGCCTTTAATAAGCTAAAGATAGTAAAAGGTAATAAGTAGCTAATAGTGTTTTAGACCTAATATAGACTATTTA